TTGTCGTCTCCCCACTGGTCCAAGGCTCAGGTGCCTCCTGGTGGCCAACCAGCCTTTCTGCGCCCTGGTCGGAGTCGGAACCCTGTCCAGGGTCCTCCACATCCTCCAAAGCCGACTCATAGGGCCCCTTGCTGTCGGAGTCTGGTGGCAGCTCCAACGGCTCCTGCTGGGCCACAACAGTGATCACAAAAGGACTGGCATCTGGTTTGTTAAGGGACATGGTAACTAAGTGAAAAATTACATGACAGTGACTGTGCTTAGATTTTATTTCAGCTTTCCTTTGCTTTACAGCATCATAAGGAAATGATCCCAAACAGAAAAATGAGCCCAATGGTGGGGAGGTTTCTGGAACTCAACTTGAATATGCCAGAGATAGAGTTCCAGGGAAGAAATGGCAAATTGAAGAGGCTCTGTGAAAAGTGGAGCAAGCAAATAGACCAGGTCTTTGTAATTCCTCTCTGGACAAGAGAGGACTTCAGATTGCCCACAATCACTCCACAAGGGCTGTGACAGTTGCCCCCGATAGTTCAAAGAGAGCAAGATCTCTGGAGGGTTTAGAGCTCTTAGTGATTAGGGAATAGCCATCTTGCTCAAACAACAATTAGCACTTTTAAAAGGACACTAGATTGTCATACAGGTAGTCCTCAACTGATAGCCAGTGGTTTAATAACCTTTTGGAGCTACAATGGCCTAAAAAAAAAATCCTTTATGGCCCATAAAGCATTTTTGATCATTGTAAAATGTCGCACAACCCCATATTTCAAATGCTTGGCAAATGGCTGACATTTATCACTGATTCCAGATCTTATGCAATCTGATAATTTCTAAAAAGAAATTATTGAGCTTGTCTAACTTGAAACTAGATTGGCACTGGTTATTAACCTTTCTGCAAATATCTTCAAAAGAACTAGGTTTTCCATCCCTCATCAAGTACAGATTTTGTAAAGCTATCTTCCCATTCTTTGTATCAACACATTTAGCCACATGGCTCTCATTGATACTGTAGGACTGGTTGGAGTTGTAATGGGGAAGAAGAACAAAGAACCTCTTCTCATCTCATGGCAAAGGTATCTCTACCACAGCAGTACAGCCAATCCATAAGAAAACAAGCTTATTGGATAAGAATAGAAGGTATTCCAGGTAATAAAGAGAAAGGCAGCCATGAGGTCGAATGATCTAACTCTATGGAATGAAGTAAAATAATTGTTTTACATTGTCTCTCTGTCTCTGCCTCTTTCTCTATCTGTCTCTGTCTGTCTCTGTCTCTGTCTCTCTCTGTGTGTGTCTGTCTCTGTGTTTCTTTCTGTCTCTGTCTCTCTCTCTCCTTATAGCTAGTGAGTTACTACACAGTGAGGATGATTCTATTCAAATGGTGCAAAGTGATATCAGAAAGTTTCTGTACCAACTCTGGACAGTAACTCCGATAAGAGTTGTTGGATATGTCTCCCTGATTCAATAAAGAGGGTAAATATTTAATGTTAGGTAATAATATAAATATTAAAGAATAAAAAGGTTAAAGTAAAAGGTTTCCCCTACTTCTACTCTAGGTGCTCATCACCATTTCTTAGCCAAGGGAGGCAGTGTTCCCATGGTCATATGGCCAGCAAGACTATATGCAGAGACACACGGGACGTTGTTACCTTCCCATCCACATGCATTTTCTTGTTTTCAAACTGCTAGATGTGTAGGAGCTGAGGCATGTAACATGAGCTTACCCTGTTGTGCAGCACTCAAACCTTGGCTGTCAACTTTGCAGTTGACAAGCTCAGCATCTTTAACCGCTAAGCCACTGCACCCTCATTAAAGAATAAATGTTTCTAATTCTCTAAGGAAGGTAAATATTACATCCAGAAAGACTTGCTTGACATGTTGATTTAGCAATCAGAATATGTGGGGATGACCTTGGTAGTCAGTGCCAGGAACTATAGCCAGGGGAATAGTCAGATTAAAAAAACAGCTTAGTTCACAGATGGATTGTGGGCATGCCAACATCTAGAAGGTACCCTCCCTGATTTCTTGGGCTGTAAAAGTGACAAGGAAGAAATGCACTTTCAGACTTGTAAGATTCTATTAATGTACCCTTACAATAAAATATACCGGTAGTCAGTTCATCTGGGCATGCTTCCTATCTAGACTACCTCACAAGGCTGACACCACTTTAACATGCTGATTGGTTAGAGTGCATGCAAGTTCCTCATGCTGATAGATATAAAACCTCTGTGTTCTTCTTTTGCTTATCTGGACTTGTTTTTCCCTTGTCCTTTCTTGGCCCCTCACCACCTTTCAGATCTTTGATCTTGTTTGCTCTGTCTGAGACAAAGATGATTGGCTACCGGAAAGAGGGAAAGCAGAGAAGCAGGAACTAATCAATTTGTAATAGATTAAAGGATAGCAGGATAGCATTTTCACAAAGGAGATTCTTCTCCCTTTGCTCTCTCTCTCTCTCTCTCTCTCTCTCTCTCTCTCTCTCTCTCTCTCTCTCTCTCTCTCTCTC